GCAGGGGGCCAGGCTGAGCCCAGCCACCCCCTGCCAGCGTGGTGGCAGCCCGGAGAGGATGTCCGTCCATCCGCAGCCGGAGGGGCATCATCCTCTTGCGCCGTTGCACAACCAGCCCACACGCCAGATGTCCCAGCAGTAAAGCAAAACAAACAAACAACAATTACAGCTCTCGGGTTTCCTCCTTTTGACTCATTATGGTTTAATTTTGGAAACCTGGCTCTCGGTTGCTGGTGGGAGAAAACCTGCTCCCGGCTCAGCCAGACCGGCAGCCTCCTGCACCCAGGGCTCAGGCTTTTATTCCCATTTTTTAAAAATTTGGGCAATACAGTTTTGCTGAAGGCCATAATACAGCGAAAGATACGGCCAAGCCAAGCAGCCTGCAGAGAGCTTTGGCGTCGAGGGGCACGGGGGGACATGGGTGCTGGAGGACCCTTACCTTGCACCGTGGGGTTGCGCACTTGGGACGGCGTGTCATGGATCTCCAGGGTCCACTCCCCCGCTGCCCGCTCCCCCCAGCAGTGGACGGTCATGAATTCCCAACCCTTGAACCCCTCGTTGGAGTGGTCGAACACCCTGCAACGGTAATGCTGTGCATCAAGAAGCGTGACTTTGAAATTCTTCTTTAATTAGAAAAGGGAGATAGGTAATGAAGGATTTTAGGGATCCTTGCGTGCACCCACCCTTGCACGGAGCCTTCCTGCAGCAAAGACCTGAGGACGGCCCCCACCTTCCCAAAAAAACAAGCAAACTTTCAGCAACCCCCTAAACGTAGGACAAGAGGAAACAGCCTCAAGTTGCACCAGGGGGAGGTTTAGATCGGATATTAGGAAGAATTTCTTCATGGAAAGGGAGGTGGTAGAGTCACCAACCCCGGAGGGATTGAAGCACATGGTTTAGTGGTGCTATTAGCAGTGTTGGGTTAATGGTTGGACTCGATGATCTTAAAGGTCTTTTCCAACCTACACAATTCTGTGATTCTCAACGAGGACGCTGCCCAGCCCAGCCACGCACTGCTCTTACCTCCTGGCGAGGAGCTGCGACCTGGTCCCCGCCGGAGAGACAAGGCTGATCTGGAGGTCGCCCCGGCGTGGGTGCGAGATGCTGAGCCGCACCACGACGTGCTCCAGGTAGAGCACGTGCTGGTCGCGGTGCTCGGCACAGGCGCTGCTGAGGGTGCTGGCACGCAGCACGTGGTCCGCACGGATGTACCTGCCGGGGACGGGCAGAGCATTGGGTCGGGGACGGCAGCGCTTGCCGCGTCCCAGCGGCACGGACACCCGGTTATATTTGAACATGGTGCCCTACCGCTCCACGGCAAAAATTCTCTTCCATTGCAACACAGTGTCCTAGCGCAGGAATTTGCTGAATTGCTCGATGGTGATGAGATGCATTTGAACTGCCTCTAAGATCTATGCCTTATGGGCTGCAAGGGCACTGCTTTATTGTAATTATCAGCGCAGCGTTCCTCCTTGGGTTGTAATTAGTGTCTGTATCAGATAAATAGTTTCATGAACACACTTGGCTCCGTTCCTGCTTTGCACATGCAAGCTGTTCCAAAGGAACTGCTTTTCTGAGGAACAACTCAACTTGCTCTACAGCCAGGCAGCGTTGAATCAGGAGGGTCCATTTGGTCAGATCCCGGATCCCACCCTTTAACCTAGCAGGGACCTACCAAGGATGAGATGTGAACCTAAGCTGGTTTGAACCGGAAGCCAAATTCAAAGGGACCTCTTGTGCTGGAAATTTGGAAACCCTTGCAACAAAGCACCAGGTTTTAGTGTCTTTCATGAAGATGAGGTGTTTGGTGGAAGAGGGAGGAGAGCCCAACACATTACCTCATGTAGGAACCAGTGAATGAGTTGGTTTTAGTCTCCCCAAGCCATTGCCAAAATGGGAAATGGCACCATCAGCCCTCAAAAATTCCCTAATCACCTGCCTGGGAAGCAAAAGCATGGAAAGGGCAAAAATAAATCACCTGCCACCAAAGCTGGTCCTGGAGAGTCCTCACAGGACCTGTGCCGAGCTGAGCCATAGGCACAGACCCTGGGTGGGCACTTCTGGCTCAACAAACAGACCTTGGGCAGACAGGGCAGACGGTGCCGGTCACTCCGACCGCAAAATCCATGAACATCACCTTGCCTGCATACAGGCTTGTCCCGGCCACCCCAAATCTTAAGTTCCCTTTCCAAATGCCAGGACAGTGTCTGACCCTTTGCATCGCAACAGCCAGCTCCCCCAAAGCTCCCTCCAAGCAGACGTGTGCCCCGGGAGAGACCCCCACCCCATGACACTCACTTGGGCACCCTGTCCAGGCTTCCCACGCAGACGTGCTGGGGAGGAACTGCCTTCCACTTCTTGGCTTCCACCACAATAGCATCTGCATCCACCAGACCGAAGCCATATAGATGGCTAACTGGAAAGAGAGAAGGCTCAGAAATCCACTGCTTTCCATGCAGGGACCAGGAGCTGCTCCTCAGCTCTTGGTGGAGCATCCTTCACCATCGGAGGTGGTATGGAGTTGACCCTGTTGGGGTACAAGGTATTCCAACACGCAGAGCTCATCACCCTGCCTGAGTAACACCCCAAATCCATGCTGGGACCACAGAAAACCCATTGCTGGGACCAGCCCACCAAAAGGAGCAGCCAATGCTGAAGCTCAGGACACCCTCCACCAAGCAAGGCTTCCAAGCATCATACCCCACGGATTACTGCTCTCTCCTCCCTCTGCTCAACAGCCTGATGGTAGGAGCCCCTGAGCCAGCTGAGAGAGGCCATCCAGAGTCAACAGACCCCTGAGCAAAGCTCTAGGGACCTTTATTTTCCATTTAATAGCCATTTTTAGCCGCCCCCACAGCCCCTCACCTTTATGCCCCGCGCCGTTGGTCTTCCAGTCAGCTGCTCGCAGGTGCACCGGTCGCGAGGTTTTGACCAGCAGATGCTGGACGTCCCTCCAGGTGAGCAGGGGGCTGCAACAACACTCGGCTCATGAGACGGCTCTGCTGCCTCCAGTCTTTCCAGCAGCAGGGACCCCCGTTGGGTTAAAATTCCCCCAAAAAAACTCTTTTCTGCTCCAAAAGAGCATGAATCACTGGAAGGGTGGTCAGGCATTGGAATGGCCATTTCAGAAATTTAAGAGACCAGGTGGTTGGACATGCTACAGGACATGGGTTAGTGGTAGGCTTGGCAGTGTTGGGTTAAAGGTTGGGCTCGATGGTCTTAAAGGTCTTTTCCAACCTACATGATTCTGTTGATTCTACAAATCAATGATTTAAATAGTAACACCCTGCCTGGAGGCTGGCCAGCACTTGGGGGCCCCAGCAGAGTGGGGTGGCCCAGGGAGGGATGCCACGTGCCCGCGAGTGTTGCAGGGTTTCTTCCTGGCCAAGGGTATTTAGCTCTCATGCTCCAGGGTGTAACTGGAGCAAATCGGTTTTCCCCATTTTCTCGTAGGAGATGGGGAAGGAAGCATGTCCTGAGGCAGGGTACCGGTCTCAGCAGCTCACTCATACCTGGGTTGCTCATTTAACAGAAAAATGAAACCCAAAGTGGTTCCAACCCCCGCTCAGGCTGGGTTTGAGTGAAGTTTATGTGTTTGGGGTGCTGGACACTGAGTGCTGTGTGCTTTTGAGCTCCCCCAAAATCCCAGCTCAGGGACATTGCTGAAGAATTTTCCATGCTTTTCTTACAGTCAGTTCCTCAGCACCTTGAGCTGGGATTTATATTGCTCTTGAGCAACATTTAAGAAAAGAAATTCAATTTATTCCCTCTCGTCATAATGGAGTGCCTGAGCACCAAACTCTGGTACTTAATGTTGCGTTTTATGCCTCAGCTAAACAATTCAAAAATTACTTTGAAAGCTTTTAATATATTTGTAATGAAAATGGCATCTCTGGAAATGTGCTCAGCTGACCTGGGAGCTGGGATTAAACTGGAGGAGAGGGACTGGAGCCGATCGCCGTCCTCGAACATGAGCACAATGGTGCCCTGCGGCTTATTAGCAGCCTTATTTTTATTTCCACCCCATAAAAAGAATAATCATACTAGTGAGAAGTTCATGAGAAGATGCTCCATGGAGCAACACAGGGATGCCCAAGGGGTGAGCCTGGTCACCCAAGGGGGCTGCTTCCAGGCTGGGGGACCAGGATGGGACCGAGATGGGGACAAGAGGCAAAGAGACGTTTGTTTTGAACCGGGGAGCGTGTCGCTGCTTATCGCACCGCGTGGGTTTCTGACATTATGCAAAAGTAGTCCTTTTCCCCCAGAAACTAAACACTTGCTGAAAACCATCACTTCTACAGACATTTTCCATTTTCTGTGATGTTTTCTGACATCTTTTTTCCGGGAAGCATTTATAAAACTCCTGTTGGTGCTGGCTGTCAGCGGTTTCAATGCACCAAATGAAAAGCCTGTCTTATCTCACCCTCAACTTTTCAACAGATGGCAACAAGTGAAGAATTAGCTCAATAAAACACCTGCCAGAAGATTAGATGCAGAACAACAACGCTGTATCAAACCTTGCCAAGAAGAAGCAATTTAGAATAACTTTGCCCCTTTTTGAGTCGCTCCAGAAGAAAAAACAAAACACCTTTTTTCTTTCTGATTTTGCTTGCCAACTACTATATTTGGGAACACCCCCCTGCAAAGCCGGTGGCGAGGTTACACTTACTTTGCCTCCAAAGCCAAGGCGATGATGCCGGCGACCATGGGGGCGGACACGGAGGTGCCAGTGTGGCCGTCCGTGCAGCGGTGCCGGAGATCCGTGGTGACCTGTGGAGAGAGGAGCTGCAGCCCCATTCTCCCGGCACGGGTGCTACCCCATCGAGCACCCCGGGTTTGCTTGGGATGCTGCCAGCGGGGAGAAGCACCCAAACCTGCCACCGCTCCCACGCCATCAGGATGCTCTGAGCCCCCAAAAATGGGCCGCAGACACATTTGGCACAGGAGCAAACATCCCTGTTTACATTTTTCTTTGCTCAAAGGTGAAAAAACTACTTGAAAGGGGAAAAACGTCAATTTTGCTGTGGGTCAGGTAGATGAAAAGCTGTGGATGGAGGGGCGTGAGCAGGGCAGGGCTGGTGTGGGTATGCACCCATGGGTGCACGTTGAGCTGTGCCATATTAAACACTCCCCATAAAAGCTAAGGTAAGGATGAGGTAAGAATTTCCATTTGCATGGGAAAAAAAAGGAAAAAAAAAAAGCTATTTCCAGCTTTCTCATTTCAGGCCAGAGCTTGATGCTTGGGTACCAAAACCTTGGAGAAAGGAGGTGTGCAGAGATGCTCCATCAGTTACATTTTTAAAAGGCTCCTGGGTATTTAGTTAATCAAGTGATTTTTGGAGGAGGAGGGACGTGCCACCCGGTTTCTCCTTGAGGTGCACCTGGAAGCTGCTTTTTTGCCCAGCAATGCCCCAGGTTTGGCTGGTCTGGCCTCAGCCACGCAAATGCTCCTTAGTGCCGTGGAAGCAGCCCCAACGAGGCACTTGGATTCTGGAAATTAATCTTTTAGAGGCCAAACAAATCGGTCTTGAATTAAAAAAACCCTAAAATCGACTTGTAAAAAAAAAAAAAAATCACAATTTTTGTCAAAAGAACTAATTTGGGTGGAAAACCCTCTCCCAGCTCGGGTAAGGCATGATGCTGGTGCGGGATGTTTTACTGCCCGAGGTTCGGATGACGCACGGGGGTGCCGGTAACGAAAGGCCGTGCTGTGACAAGACCACAGCGGCTGCTGGGACAGGGCAAATACAGCCTGGGCGACAGGGAAAACCATGCTGATCCACGCATGCACGCGTTTTCAGGCAATTCCAGGGCTCTGAAAAGTCTGTGTTCCCCATTTGGGTTTGCCACATCCCTGCCAAACACATCCATTCTCCTTCTTTTTTCTCTGTCTCAGGCCAAAACCCCTGAAAATTCCCTTTTTATAAGCACAGGACAGCATGGAGGCACTTTGGGGGACAGGTTAATATTTGCACAGGTATTTTTGCAATCCTCCAGCCCTTTCACCCATTTACCAGGGAAAACGCAACATCCCTGAACTCTCCCCAAGGACCAGAGCAATTTTGGCCCCAGCATAAAAAATAGCACAAGCAAAACCCACTGCAGGGCTAAGAGCAAAGCCCAGATCTTACAACCAAGCCCAACCACGCAGAAAACATCCCGGGAATGCTGCCCCATGTGATGCTGGGGTAAAACTTACTATTTTCCGCTCGTAAAAGGCCCCGCTACTGTAGGTGGTGGCGAGGGTGGAGGCACACTCCTCCAGGTACCAGGGCTTGTAGCCGTTCTCAGTGGTGCTGCTGATGGAGATGGTGTAGATGCTGTTGGTGTAGCCATCGCAGGAGCAGTAATCACCCTCTCTGCCGCCGTTCCCCGACGCCCAGACGAAAATGGACCCCAAGCCCCTGCGTCCCTGTGGGCAGAGAGGGGAGGGGGGGTGAGAAGAGGTGTTTGTCCGGGACGAGCGACCGTCTCAGCATGGGGAGGAGGGAGCAGCACCTCTCCGGCGCTTGGGATGCCATCGGTAAACCTGATTTTGGGTCAGGAGGTAGGGTTTGGTGAGGGTGGAAGGATGGGTCCCATCCTGCCCAGGGCTCAGCCCCCTGGATCAGCCCCAGCAAATGCGCCCCTCGGCTCGGCCAGCCCCAGCTTTACAGGCAGCGGCTCCCCACAAGGATGGGAGAGCCTCTGGCGATGAGTTTGGCATCTTCCACGGGTTGTCACGGGGTAAAACATCCAGGCTGCTCAGAGCCCTCAGACCAGGCAGTAACACCCAGCAAGGCACTTTCTGGGGTGCAGGGATGGCCCCACGGGAGGACCCAGCAGGAAACCCCCCAGAACCCACCTCTCCCTCGCTCCGAGCCTGCAAACCATCAGAAACCTTCCCTCA